TGAATGCACACTGAGGCGCCCTCTGGACACCACACTTTGAAGTTCTTCATTGACCTCGCTGAGCAGTTGCAGAATTCCTGTTAGAAGACTGGACTAAAGAATGTGACACAGATAACTGTCCTGTCACAGTCTTCTAACCTAGAGACAACGTAAAAGTGGCTTGACGCCCCGCCTTGGGCAACAACCTTCCTGGTTTACCCTATAACTTGTCTAAGACCTAGACAACAGTCCCCCGTAGATTTTGTGCAGGTTCAAACATATATCTCATTATATCTTAGCCCCATCAGTTTCAATACTCATCTTTAACAACCAATTTGAACAGCTTAATTTATATATTTTTTAAAGATTTATTTATTTATTATGTATACAGTGTCCTCCCTGCATGTGTGCCTGCCAACCAGAACAGGGTACCAGATCACACTACAGATGGCTGTGAGCCACCATGTGGTTGCTGGGAATTGAATGCAGGACCTCTGGAAGAGCAGCCAGTGCTCTTAACCTCTGAGCCATTCTCTAGCCTGAGTGGCTCAAGTCAATGTACTTTTGGACAACATTGCTTTAGATATATTTACTTTCACTAAATACAAATCCAAAATAACAGTGGCCTCGAAGGATAGAAGTCCCTGTGTCACTAATTCGACAACTCAGAAACAGAGACAATTCAGACTTGGTAGGCCAGCCTCAATCCATAAAGTATTAAGGTAATGGGGTCCTACCAGATCACTATCCCCACCCCCACTGGGTGCATATGGCTCTTGTCTATCTGCTCCAAGATGGCGGCATGGTTTCCAGCTATCACTTCTGCGTTTCAACCAGCAGGGTGACGAAAGGGTTAAGAAGACAAGGGCAAAGGTTTAGAAGTAGTTCTACATGATAAACTATCCCTGGAGAGGTTTGACAGGAAATGGCCCCCAAAGAGAGTAGCACTATTAGGAGGTGTGACCTTGCTGGAGGAAGTGTGTCACCGCGAAGGTGGGCTTTGAGGTCACATCTATACTCAAGATACCGCCCAGTAACTGAGACCACTTCCTGTTGCCTGCAAGATGTAGGATTCTCAGCTACTTCTCCAGTACTGTGCCTGCATGCCACTGTTATGCCCAGATCACGGAGTCCCCCCAAAGCCAACTAGAAGACAGAGTCCTGTATGTAAAAGCAAAAAGCTTTTACATACACAGGTCTTACACAGGTCATTCTTACACAGGTCTCCTTTTGTCCAATTTCCTGGAGTGATTGGAGAGCCCTGAGCTCAGTTCAGGTTGGGTTTTTATAATAACAAAGATAGGGGTGAGGGATTTCTAAGGTTCAGGACCCCGGATTGGCTGACATTTGTCTAGGGGTGTCCTGGTGGAAAGCGACGGGTGTGTGCAATTCCAACAATGGTTGGAATTTCCTTTGGACGGTCTGTTCCTGGGTGGTGCCTGGGTGGCCTCAGTTTGGGGTTTTTCTTGGAACCAGGTATTGCCTTAGGGTAAACTGCTGAGACTCAGGCCGCTATTGAGCTTGTCATGGCCGGGTCCTACAGCCACCATGCTCCCCACCATGATGATAATGGACTAAACCTCTGAAATTGTGAGCAAGCCACTGTAATGGTCTGTCCTGTCCCTTTAAGAGACAAGCCCCACCCACTTCTTCTCTTGTCCACCAAGCTGATCTTCAGCTTCCAGTCTGAACCCAGTCTTTTCTATCTCTCTCCCAAAGAGGCAGCTTCTGCCTCTCCCTTCTCCCCACCTCTCCCCTCACCTCCTTTCTCTCTCTCTCTCTCTCTCTCTCCTCTTCCCCCTTCTCCCCTTTCCCCTTCCCTTCCATAACCCGCTAAATCTTTATCCAACCTCACTCTGCATGGCATGCCTATCCATCTCGGTCTCTCACCCACCATAACTTTCTTCATAAACACAAAATAGTTTGCAATTTTGAAATGCATTAAATGTGGGCAAATGTTACCGCCATGATTAGATAATTAATTTAGTTCATGGCCCATTGCACCTTACCAAATAGTCCACCAAATCAGAAAATCATTTCATCAATGGTACTCCTGCATGTGACCAGACAACCACTACAACACACCACGCTTGGATGGCATCTGCACCTGCATTCCCAGCTGCTGCACCCTTTCAGAGTTTTGTGTGGTTACTACTGGGTGTTAAAGGTCATGTCCCACATCCACACATTGAAATACACATTTTAGGATCAGATATTTCAGGGTTTTTGTTGTTGGTGGTGGTGGTTCGTTGGTTTCTTTTGTTTTGAAGCAGGGTCCCAGGTAGCCCATGCTGGCCTCAAACTCGCTATGGACCTAAGGAAAACCAGATGATCTTTAATTCCTCCTGCCTCCCCATCTCAAGGGCTGGGATTACAGGCGTGTGACCATATCCAGTTTATGTAGTGCTGGGGGGTTGAACCGTAGACGTCACATACCCTAGGCAAGCATGCTCTCAAGTTGTATACCCAGCTTTGCTTTTTTTAACTTGTTCTTTTTATTACTGGTAGGATATTATGTGGACTTAAAAACTATCCTTATGTGTATACGTGTCTTGGTTTAAGTTTCCCCAGAATGAAGGATTCTAGGCAGGTGTAATTTATAGGATAAAGGGGCAGGGGCTATGAAAAAGTCATTAAATGCTATTTTATCAAGCAAGTGATCCTTATGAAGACCTGGAACTTGAGAATTATCTTAAAAGTCAGCTTTGGGGCTTCAAGGTGGCTCAGCAGGGGAAGGCACTTGCTGCCAAGCCTGACGACCCTGAACCCAAAAAGCAGGAGAGAACTGTCTCCCGAAAGTTGTTCTCTGACTTCCACAAACACCCTGTGGCACTAGGGCCCCCACAAACACCTATGTGAGCACACACACACACACACACACACACACACGTAATTAAAATATTTTAAGTCTGCATTTCTGTCGGCTTTAAAATACACACTAATTGCTATGCAAGGTTCTGACCTCCTACACATTATGCGTGTTTTCCAAAAAAATCCTGGACAAAGCACACATGCACCCATGAGCAAGGGCCTGCTGGCTTCTTCTGCATCAAAGGTCTCCAGGGAAGATGGGGACAAACACAGTGTTTTTCTTGAAGTCTGCGATATCTCACTGCGTATAACCTGAGGTGTCTGAGAGTCAACCACTTGAAAACAGACTACCCAAGATTCTGCTAAGCTGCAGGTGGTGCCTTCGGGAAATGTAGGATTGTAAGCTGTCTAGTCAGTCTCTTACCTGCGAGGACAGAAACACGCAGGTTTTCCTCGGCCAAGAGAAAAGCAAGCAGGAACCCCAGGTGGCTGTAAGCTGCCAGAGTCACCTCGAGGCTCTGGATAAAGTCCCTGGGCGTCCTGGATTTAATCCTGACCTTGCAGCCTAACCAGTGACTCACAGGCTGTAAGCCTTCCCCGCCAATCCTTCCGACCTTTGCTTTATTCTCCACCTCACTAGGGTTTTCTCTCACCCTGCTACCACACTCTGCTCCGAGCCGCTGATATTTCTGCTCACCGTTTCAGGATAGCGGTATCTTTTTTTTATTTTTTTATTTTTTGAGACAGGGTCTCATGTAGCCTAGGTGGCCTTGGTTACTGTGTGTGTGTGTGTGTGTGTGTGTAAAACCAAGGCTAACTTTGGATTCCTCATCCTCCTGTCCCCATGTTTTCCCCATAAGGGCTGGATTACAAACTTGTGCCACTACGTCCATCTGAGCTTTTTTTTCCTTTAAAGTTTGTTTTTTTCCTCTACATTTTTCTCTGCTCCCTTCCCTGTTTCTCCCCTCCCCCCTCCAGCCCTTCCCCAAGGTCCCCATGCTCCCAATTTATTGAGGAGATCTTGTCTTTCTCTACCTCCCATGTAGATTAGATCTATGTAAGTCTCTCAGTGTCAGCATTGTTGTCTAAATTCTCTGGGATTATGGTTTGTAGGCTGGCTTTCTTTGCTTTATGTTTAAAAACCACCTATTAGTGAGTACATGTGATAATTTTTTGGGGAGGTCTGGGTTACCTCACTCAAAATGATGTTTTCTAGCTCCATCCATTTTCCTGCAAAATTCAAGTTGTTATTTTTTTCTGCTGTGTAGTACTCCACCGTGTAAATGTACCACATTTTCCTTATCCATTCTTCGGTAGAGGGGCATTTAGGTTGTGTTCCAGAAACTTTGTTTTTTTCAAGTCTTAATGCAGAACTCAGCTCTGAAGGGGCATCTGGCAAGAAAGAGCAGGGGTGAGCAGTCCCAGCTGGGACACAGAGCAAACCTCAGCTGGGGAGGCCTGGGGTTGACGTTCACCTGCCAGCGCCACAGTGAGCGCCATGGGGATCTTTTCGTGAGCCACGTGGGTGCTGGGCATTTCTAGTCACAGTTGACGACCTGGAGATTTAGAATTTGTTTTTGTTTGAAGGGTCAACTGGGAAGGCGAACAGAGCGAGGAGCCCTGGCTGTTAGGAGGAGCCCTGGCGGCCAGACTGCTTCACTAGGACTGAACTGGACAAGGAGTTGCAATGTGGTATCAGCTGCCATCTGAGGGTTCCTCTGGTTCCATTCTCTGAGTTTTCACGCATTTCCAGTGATCCCATTCTCTTTCTCAAGGAGCTAGATGTTTAAAGACAGTAAAGTAACCTGTCTTTATTAGCCAAATGTGGCATTTGTGTGTTGATCCACAAGGTCAAAAACATTCAAAATGGGAAATCCTCAGAAGGGAGTGAGCACTGGTCCCTTCCCACAGGGTACGGGATCATTCTGGCAGAAGGCAGTGAGCGGAAAGGTGGTGTGGCGGGGGATAGTCTCTGATCCTCTCTACCCTTCCCTAAAGACAAAGACAACTACTAAGTGTCTTTTATTCAAGGAAACATATTCCCCTCAAGACTCTCCTCCTTGGGACATAGGGTCAGAGAGTTGTTCTCTGTCAGCAAATTGGCTTCAGTTAAACTGAGCCAAAACTGAGTCAGAGGCATACTCAGCTGACCACCCTTTAAATGTTTAGCCAGCCCCCACACCATTTCCAATAGTCATGGAACAACTTCATAGAGATGAATGTCTTTTATTATGAAAACTGCTGTTACATTACAGCCAACATCCCAAAACAGTATTTTAACAAACACTTGTCTTGATTATAAAGTAGTTCGGAAATCATGATCCTTTTCGAAAGTAATTAATGCCTGCTGAGTCATCTCACATGGAGCAGGACACGGCTCACCAGGGAGCACAGCAGATGAGACGGGAGAGCACCTGTGTTACCCAAACCACACGCGGCACCGCTACAGCGTGAACCGACAGCCTACAGCGGGGTTTGTAGAAGAGCAAACAGTGGAAACATGGAGGGGTCGCAATACTGTAGAGATGGGGGCAGCCAAAGTGTGTTTTTCCTTTCTTCCCTTCTGAGTTCAGGGTGAGGTACAGGGAAGGTCACACGCTGGGCTGGGGACCCTCACAGTTCCCTGCTTCCTTCCTTCTCCACACAGAGCCCGCACCGGCCTCCTGGGACCAGTGGGCTCTGTAGCAGCTGGCATCAGGGTTTGGATTCCAGTGTATCCCTACGTCCTTTCTAGTCGGGGACGGGGGTTCCTATGAGGATGCATTCCATGTCAGGACCAGGATGTGGAGTCCCCTCGTGGGACCTCTCCCAGCACCAACACTCGGGGGGAGGGGCTTATCAAAGTCTAAAGCTGCAGTTTGGAAATTCTTCCTCTTCCCCTGAGAAGCAGCATACTGCCCACGTGGCTGGAAGGGGTCCTGGAAGGCAAGGTACTGCTGCTTCAGTCTCAGGTACAGCCTGCTCCTTGCCTGGGGATGTGGGGTAACCGCAGATGGATCCGGACAAACCACTAACTTAGGAACAGCCAGTAACTTCTTTCACGCAAGCAGCTTTCTTGGGAAACTTCCCTGCGATTTCAGGGAGCCGAGTGAGACCTTTCTCCATAGGAAAGGGGTAACCGGTTTCCTCTTCTAAGGAGGTGTCTGGATCTTAGTACAGGTCAAGACCGGCTAAGCGGATTCCTATTTCCTTTTCCGCTCTCCATTTGAACTATACAGTATGTTTTCCGCCCTGAGCTCAGGGCTCTAATCATTAGTAAGGCTCAGAAATAACACATAGTCCATTCCAGTTTCAACACGGTTCTCTGCCAGCACAGGGCGACTCCAGATGGCGCGCAGCCTGCACAGAGATAATCCAGCTCTCCAGCCAGCAGGTGACTAGTTAAGCTTCTCACGCTGAATCTGGTAGTAACAGGCCTGGAAAAAAATTCAGAACAAATTCAAATTTTCTTTTTAAGGCCAGAGAAAGAGAATCCCTTATTAGCACAGCAGCCCACGATTCGCTCGCCCCCCTCCCCCCCCCGCGTCCTTCCCTGTGACTCCACCCCATGGTTATGTGTAGCCTGGTGGTAATGAACAGCAACGGAATTGTACACATTTCCTCTCTACTTCAGCTGTGCCCTGTTCACTGGTGGCTGGGAAGTCTGGAGGTACACAGATCCCCGACACAGCTAACGATGACTTAACCCCGCACAGGAGAAGCAAGTTCCGCGGTCCCTCAGTGCCCGTGCTCGGGTCACGCCTGCTTTCCACTCTTGAATTTGATTTCTTAGGATCAATTCCAAACACACCAACACTTCGCTGCTGTCAATCAGGATGGTAATGATCTCCGCCTAGTAACTGTTCATACAAGAGCAGCCTAGCTGCTGTCTACCCCACGGTCAGCCACGGGGGAAAGTGACCTCACTACAAACACACCGGCCCTGGGTATCGCTGAACACGTGCTGCTGGTGTTCTAGGCACAACAAGCTTCAGTTGGACTCCTGGGACTCGGAGCGTCTGCCGTCGTGTGCATTTACCTGCTTCCCCTCGGGACGCGGCAGGCTCGGTTAGCTCAGGCCGCAAACCTGGCGCTCGGTCCTAAGGTTTTGCACACTTTTGGGGCCACTCCTATCCTTCGTTCCTCCTTCTCTGACAAACCCCACAGCACCCATACCTGCTGCCTTGGTCCATCCCCAAGACTGCAATGACAGCAGTGCTATTTTTACATTTATTAAATATCTTTAGCAATTTTAGCTAGATTCTTCTATTTCTAATGTGAAAATTTTATTACTGTATTGTTAATATGAACACTATCCTTTCCATTAGGGACTTTCTATTCATGTGACCATAGCAGAGTACTTCGTATTAAATATTATAATTTTATAAGATTTTATTACCTGGCAGTGTAGGTCTGATTTGTCCTAATTTAATGCATTGTCTTGCTTTTAGTACCAACAACACATATTTTGAAGCTATTTAGTCTACTCAGAGAGGCTAATCAGATCCAGAAAGACAAACATGGTATGTGTTTGCATATATGTCGATGGCGGCTACGGAGATCAGGTACAAATAAGGGACTGGGGAGAGATGGCTCTCCCTAGGAAGGGGAAGTAGATCAGACAGTTACGGATGGGTGGGGACAAGAGGGCTGAAATGGGAGGATTAACAGGGAGGGATATGGGGAAAGACAGGCAAACTAAGGGCCATGCGAGGGGCCCTATGGGAACCTAAGACAGTGGAGGCTTCCTAATGAAAATGTCCGTATGAAGGCAATTTAAACGAAATCACCAAGTAATGGGAGACACGGCTCCAAGTGAAGCTTCCAATACGGAATGGGTTACATCTAACGGAGCTCTTGGCCAAGGTGGGTACTGGAAGGTGCTCTGCACACGGCCAGAGGAGAAAGATAAGCATGAACCCTCACAAGCCCAACGATCTGTAAGAGTGGCCTGCCTTCAAGAACGCATTTTGGAGAAGCATCTTCAGTGTCCCACAGGGCTGGCACAAAGATTGTGGGAGTAGCTAACCAATATCTGATTAGAGTTAAGGCCTGTGTGCGGGTCTGAAAGAAAACAGCCTCCAAAGGGAGTAGGTGTGGTCTTGTTGGAAGATGTGTGTCACTGTGGAGGTGGGCTCTGAAGGTTCATATATGTTCAGGTCATACCCAGCAAGACCGTCTACTTCCTGCTGCCTGCATATTAAGTTGCAGCAGCGCCTTCACCAGCACCACGTCTGCCTGCCAGGACGGTAACGGTCTAAACCGCTGAAACCGTAAGCTGCCACCTCAACTAAAGATTTTTCTTTCTAAGAGTTGTGTGGTCATGGTGTCTCTTCGCAGCAATGGAAACCCTAAGAAAGCCCACATCCAATGCTGCTTGGGTGGCCAAGAAGCTGATACTGAATAGGCCAGGGACCTAAGGAGAAACCAAATCCTGCTGCTCCACTAAACGAACATAACAACAAAACGACTCCTAGTGACATCTGCTGTACTCGTGAACCTGGGCCTTGCTCAGCCATCACCAGAGAAGCTTCCTTCTGCAGCAGCTGGGAACAAATACAGACCACAGCCAGACAATACTCAGAGGGTGAGAGACCTCGGAACACTGAGCCCTAAAGGGCTCTAGGGACTCTGTAGAGGAGGGGGCAGGAAGACTGTAAGATGCAGGGGATGAAGACACCAGGGAATCAAGGCCTCCTAGACACAGCAGGATTGACGCATGTGTCAACTCAGAGGCTGTGGCAGACACAGGGCCCACATGGGTCTACCCCACATGTCTCCTCGCACTGAAAGGAGACATGGACACAGCCTCGACCCCTAACCCAGAGGCCACCTCCAATTAGAGCCACTTGTCAATGAAACATTAGTTTTCTCCACGGGAGAATCTCTGGGAAAGCAAACCACACTTAAGGGCAGGCGTCATGACCAGCAGTAGAAGGCCAAAACAGAATGAACTCAAGAGAACCACTGGAGTTTCTCTGTCTCATGATGTTAGCAGGTCATTTCCATCTGTATTGTGGCTTCCAAGTTTTGTGTTTTTAGGGGATTCCTGTGTGTGTGTGTGAACACATGTGTCTCTGTGTCTCTATGTGTTTCTTGTGCTTTTTCTTGTCTGGTTGTTTTGCCCTATTTCAATTTGCTTGTTTTTTATTTATTTTATTGTATTTTATTATTCTTCCTTAGAGGCCTGTCGGATGTCTAACAAGAGACAGAAAGGGTGTGGGTATGGATGGGAGGGTAGGTGGGAACTGGGAGGAATACAGGGAGGGGAGACCATAATCAGATTGTTATACTGCAGAGGCAAAGCAAGTGCCATAATCAGGAAAAAAAAATCTATTTTCAATAAAAGAAAAAAATAAAGTCTACCCTGAGTTTTTCCATAAAGAAGACAGTGTGTCAGGCACAGTGGATCACCTTTGCAATTGTAGCCTTTAGGAAGCATTGGCAGAAAGGCAACTAAGAGCTCCAGGCTAGCCTGAGCTGTAGAGGAAGACTCTATTCTCAAAACAGCACCCCCCCCACTAAAGAAAGAAAGGAAAATCAGCTCCTGAATGGTTTATAAGGTGGTGAATGAAGGGCAGACTGAGATTAAACCTGTCTCCACTCACCTTCAGGGTGGTGAACATTATGCCTTGCTCGCCATGCTGGAGATAGGGGTCCATCAGGTCCTCAATGAGGTGGACTTCAGAGCCTAAATTCCTAATCCTGTGCCATAGAGAAAGAGGTGGGAAGTTCATTCTGCTTCAAGTAAATGTTCCTTTGGGATCGACTGAGGATGACAGAGAATAACAGCCTCACACAGAGACAGGACCAGAGGGCAGAGAAAGAACAGCCTCACACAGAGGCAGGACCAGAGGGCAGCGGTTCTCAGCCTCACACAGAGACAGACAGGACCATAGGGCAGCGGTTCTCAGCCTCACACAGAGACAGGACCAGAGGGCAGCGGTTCTCAGCCTCACACAGAGACAGGACCAGAGGGCAGCGGTTCTCAGCCTCACACACAGACAGGACCAGAGGGCAGAGGTTCTCAGCCTCACACACAGACAGGACCACAGGGCAGCGGTTCTCCCTCCAGTGCTGCGACCCTTCAGCACAGCTCATGCCGTGATGACCCCAGCCCTAAACTTATCTCACTGTTACTTCATAACTGTACTTTTGCCACTGCTATGAGTCAGAATGTGACTCTTATGGAAGGACCTCCAGGCTGAGAAACACGGCCAGTGTGGCCTGGGTTAAGAGAAGTGAAATTCTACTCTAGTGTAGCGCCCTGCTATCATCACTTCAAGAGAAGCAAAGGGCAGACCTGGAGAACAACAGACGGACGTCAGAAAAGCCTGCACACCTGGCCCGCAGCACCACATACAAGAAGACGGGGAACAAGTCATCCATGGACCACAAGAAGTCCTCCTGCAGGGAGGCCAGGACACTCTGGGAGATCTCTTCGAAGGTCTGCTGAATGACCTTGAGCTTGTCTGACGGAGTAAATGTTGTGCTGTTGTGGAGACAAAGTGTAGAGACATCCTAAGATTTCCCCGGTAAAGCCATCTTTAGTCATTTTTAAAAAATAGTCCCTCTTGGGCCTCGCATGCCTCGGATCAGACACAATAGGCAACCACAGTGTGGCGGGGAGGCCTCTGTAATCCTACAGCGTCTGGGAATGAGGCCCCCAGCAGTCAGAGAACCCGGACACAATGTTTCCTTTGGCCCACGGGATCAAAGGAATCTCTTTTCTGAATCGGAAGTTGGTTGAGTTCCATTTGGCTGATGAGATGGGTACACAGATAAATCTCTCGGCTCCTTGAAAACACAAGGACATTTCAGAGCAAAACCCGGATGTTTACAAAGAGAGCTTGTGATCTTCACGTGAATTCTCACAACCTCTAGGAGTGGAGAGGAAAATGACACAGCCAGATCTTGTCTGGAAAAAATATTGGCGAGAAAGGGATGGGGGACATGCTCTTTCTACTCGCCATGGACGGACCACCGCTGTGACAGGGTGGCTCTTCAACAACGCCAGGAATTACCTGATCTGCTGGAGGCATTCCACTGCAGAGGCAAAACAAGCATCCTTTGTGGTGGGCAAAACCTGTGTGAGGAGAATGATTGTCAAAGAAGAGAGGCGTCTTCCGCACCGAGAAAACGAGGGAACCCGTGGGAGGACCCAGTTTGCCGGGGAAAGCCGGCATTAACATGCCTACACGCATGATAAGTGGAACACCTCACAGCAAAGACATGTTTGGTGAGAAACTAAAATCAGCTTTACCTTTTTGCTCTCCCCAAGGATTGACAAGGTTGCTGGCCAAAATTTCCTACAATGAAAGCAAAAAATAAGTCATTTTGGTAGGTATACCCCCTTTTTAAAAGGGGGATCATTATCTTGGTTTCCCTGTTCCCATTAAAAATAAGTTTTCTACAAACTGGTTCTGAGTTTCATGTTTCTATTTACGTTTTTCCTAGGTTGATTACAGAGTCTGGAAGATTTAACAGCGTGAATGAAAGTTCCTGAACAGAAGCTGTGTCTAGCTGTGAGGAGTCTGTGTCTGCAGAGCCTGAGGGACTGCCTGGATTCTGGCACTGAATTCTGGGGGTTCAGAGACCAGTCACTTTATCTTGGACTAGTCTCAGCCTTCCAGAATAGTCATTTGCAACCCCACTCTGTATCTGAAAAAGAAAACACCTTATGATAATAAATAAAAACTTCTTACAAAGTATTAACTTAGAACAACGTGATATTAAGTAAAAAGTCTCTTAGAAGGTATTAACTTAGCAGGATACTCTGTCTCCAATCCAAGAGCTAAGACCGTCACCGGACAGCATCCTGGGTCTGGGGCACCCACCACTGCGTATAAACTTGCCTTGACTTATGACTGCTTCCATGCTGGAAGTCGGGGTTTGGCGGTAACCTAGCTAAATCTGTAAATCTGTTCCCAGGCCATGGTCACTGTCTCTTATCCTGGAGGACGAGAGCTGTGGTTTTCATGTTGACAACGGCATCTGCTATATCCCAAGCACTTGGCATCTACACTCCTGCGCCCTCACACTGAAGCCCGGGATATTTCCCTCACTTACTCTCATCACATTTTTATTACTAAATCACTCAATTAAAAAAACTTCTCAATAGAAGTGTATGCACATTTTCACAGCATGAATACACAATCCTTGGGTGATCACGTGATTCCCTAGACTAACAAATAAGGGTCTGAGATAAAGAGAAACCATTTAGGATCTGAAACTCTAAAGTGCAAGTGAGGGGAGAAGGGAAAAGCGGCAAGGACCAAAGATTTAAAGTAACTAACTTTTCCTAAGGAATAGAAACGGAAATCATGCATCTCTATTAGGTGAGATGAGTCATCTAGTTCATACATGATAATGAACATGTGCAGATGGATAAGCAGCTTCATAACCATCTGTGAGCGCTCTCAGAAGTGAGACCATGAGCAGGCTGGGAAACCACACACACACACACACACACACACACCCCAAGAACTTCTCGGCAGTGCTGAAGGATTTTCAGTCGGTACCGACCTCTGCACCCCGAGGAAGCCCAGGAGAGGGAGGTCCGGTTGCTTGTTTAGTCGGAGCACACACTCCCAGTAAACGTCCTCCTCCCGGTCATTGTCCAGGGCGTACAGCATGAAGAGAGGAGGGTAGAGGCGAGGCAGCAGCACAGGGAGCAGCAAGCCGGAACTCGTTACCACGTACCTGCAAACACGAGAGGACCTGCTGAGTGCTGCTCTACACACGCGGAGCCGACTGTCTCAGACCAGATGTCAATTCTATCCAATGTCTGGAAATCAAACTGAAGCTCTCTTTTGCAGGGTCACCTAACTCAGCAGCCTTCATGCCTGGCTCTGTGTGGCTGCTCCTTTCTGCACAGTGGTCAGGAACCTTAGAGGGGCCACTGAAGAAGTGTGGAGCTGGGAGTCACGCAGCCCTCACCCTACCTCTCCACCACCTCACCAAGCCCACTCACCCTGGCTCTGGGGACTCGGATCCGGAATCTGACTTCCCAGTGCAGAAGGACCTCCTTCCAGTGGGCAGAGGAGCCGACAGAGGAATTGTGCTGCCCTCTTCAGGAAGCTCAGGAAATAAGAACCTAAGCAATAATTGAAAACAGACCAGAAAATTCTATGTCCAGAGCAGCTGAAAAGAGTAAATATCAATTCCTAGTATTTGAGCTATCTAAGGGCCTATGAAATCAAAATCCACCACTAACCAACTCTTTTAGCCCCGAGACTCTCAAATGGCGCTCCCTACAGACCGGGATAGAGCGGTGGTAAAGGGAACTCCTGCACAGCGGGGTCCCCTTCCAGACCAACCACACCCAAACACCCATTTTCACAGAAAGATCCTTTATTAAGCAGGGAAGGAAAGTTAAAGCGGCTGTTTTCTGATTCTGGCGGAAAAACAGCAGCAGATGACCTCACAGGTGTAAATCGTAAGAGAAAAAGGGGAGGTCTGTTAGAACGGGTTAGGGTGCAGAGGTGACGGAGACAGAGTGAGGGGAAGGAAGGGACTGAGGACCGCCTCTGGAGAGGGGGCAGACGGGGCACACAGGCAAATGGCGGTGTATAACCCCGTGTTAGGATGAGGTGTTTAATTTTAATTGGGCATGTTAATTAGGTGAACCAAAGGGGGCTTCTGACTGAGGGACCTTGGTAGTCAGCCTCAAGAGGAGGAAGTGGCCCAAACAGGGAACAGACGTAGTGGGTGGCTTTAGGAAAGGAATCTGATGGTTTTCATAAGGCAAGGGAACAGGGAGAAGAGCAAGGCCAGCCAGAGCCGCGTTTGAGGAGGCTGGTGTCCCGTCCCTTCCCGGCAGCCTCCTGCGCAGGGTTCAGCAACAGGGATTCTCATCTACCCAGGACACACATTTCTTACTGGTAAGTCTTATCTGAGGTCAATCTGCATCAACTCTAACCTTCCGGAAACTCGCATTAACTCTGAACATCAGTCTCAGAACACAAGAGAACTCCAGAAACCTCAATGTAAATCTCAAAAGTCTTTTCTAAAATACACTTGTACTAAGTTAGTAAGGGTTTCCTAGTTCTGTTTTTCTTCTGTGCCTTGATTTTTTTTTTCTCTAAATCAGTGGTTCTCAACCTATAGGTCGCGACCCTGAACTGGTCCCAGGTCAGATATTTTACATTATGATTAATATCAGTAGCAAAACTACAGTTATAAAGTATCAACAAAACAATTTTATGGTTGGGGTCCCCACAACACAAGGAACTGTACTAAAGGGTTGCAGCAGCAGGAAGGTTGAGAACCACTGGTATAGATTGCGATCTTTGACTTTTGGTACGTTGGTAGGGTCTACCTTAAGTAAGTTTATTGTCCGGTTTATTTCAGAGGCTTAAATCTTAACCAATCAAAGGCAGTTTGCAATTTGCCTGTTTTTGTGCAGTTATGGCTTGCCACCCACCTCTGCTCTAATTTTATAGTTGGGAATACAGAGACACACAGTAAAGAAGCTTCTTCTTGTGGCACACACCAAGCTAAAGGGGGCACAGCAACACGCCCATGCAGCGATCCCGTCCAGACACCCTGCTCCCTCCACGCCCACGCAGTCCAAAGGTGCTTGGCGATGCAAGGAAGCTTCTGGGGCAAATTCTTAATGATTCAATAGAGAATTCATTTGTTGGTTTAAAACCCAGCTTCCGAGCTCCTAGTTGCTGCTGCCCAAATCTGTCCTCTCGATGAGTTACTGGTTCATCTAACCGCGCCTCCTGGTCCCTGCTCAGGTGTCCACAATCAGACAGCCCCTCCTCTACCCAGCCCAGCGCATCACCTTCGAGCGCTAATCTTGCCTGGCACCACACGTGTTATCTACTCTTCCTACCCTGGCTCGTAAGCTGAACGAAACCAGGGCTGTTTTCACTTTTCAGTGTTATGCTGGTTAGAGACTGGAGTACCCAGGACAGACGGAGCTGCAGGGAAGGCTCCCGACTTTACAGTCAGCTCTGTCTGTTCTGTGCTTAGGGTTTGGAGATACGATTTAGCCTTCAAGTTCAATATGAATAACACCGCTCTATTTTACACCAAATCAGACTTGGAAAACCACACACATTTTTGTTTTTACCGTCAGGGACATCTAATGAGCGAGAACACTAATAAGGCAGGGATATCAATGGGTAGGCTCATCTTTTTAAATGTGTGAGCGTGAACACGTTAGGAATGTGTTTCTGCAGCATAAAAACCATCTTCTCAGTGAATACATCCTATGATCAAGGGGAAACAGGTATCTCACAACGCTGTAACATCTGAAGAGTCCCCTGGGTTAGCAGATCAGTCCAGAGTTTTCAAACATCAGTGTAGCACTCTCTTTACCTCACAAGCTGGAAGATCCGCTTGAGATAGGACTTAATCTCCTTCACAGCTTCCTGCAGTAGCCGGCGGTTGGCCCCCACGCCCACATACGTCATTCTGTACACTGCCACCAGGGTCTCCACGAGCCTGCCCAGTGGGTGCAGAGGGGTGTCACAGGCCTGGGCAGCAGGAGCAAGGGCGCTGGTCAACAGGCAGCAAGGGCAACAGCAGCAGAAACCAGCCCACAATAAACCCGTCACAAATAATAAACCATTTCTGCAACACCAGGAGTGGAACTGGGGTCAGGAAAAAGGAACTTTCTAACTATCGGGTCTATCTGAACTGTGGGGAGAACTGTAGGGAGAACTGTAGGGAGAACTGTGGGGAGAGCTGTAGGGAGAGCTGTAGGGAGAACTGTGGGGAGAATGTAGGGAGAACTGTGGGGAGAACGTAGGGAGAACTGTGGGGAGAACGTAGGGAGAACTGTAGGGAGAACTGTGGGGAGAACGTAGGGAGAACTGTAGGGAGAACTGTAGGGAGAACTGTAGGGAGCTGCGGTCTGAATATGCATTTATGCATTGCAGCTGTAGGACAGGCCTCATACTGTGGCTTTCCTTCAGGGTAACATTCCACATACATTTTGTGACCTGTTTTACTTTTGCCTTTCTTTTTACATATTTTAAAGTTTTTTTTTTTTAAAGTATGTGTGTGCATCTGAGTACAGGAGCTCACGGAGCTCAAAGCTGCAGAAGCCCTGGAGCCGGAGGTACAAGCAGTTGTGGGCTGTCTGATGTGGGTGTTGGGGACAGACCCGGGTTCTCGGCCCTTGAATGTTGAGCAGTCCCTTCAGCACCTACTCAACACCTGTTTTGGACACAGGGTCTTGGTGTGTAGCTCGGGTTGGCCTCACACTTATTATCCTGCTGCCTTAGCTTCTCAAGGGCTAAAATTACAGGAATGTCACTGTGGTTGGCTGATTCTTGTTAGTTTAAAACATTAAAATCTTTCCTGCAATAGTACTCCACACCAGGAATTTCATTTTGTCCTCTCTTGTGGCTAAGCAGTTTCCTACTATGGAAAATTAGTGTTGGTGTTTGTTACAGTGGGAGAATTATGGTTAACAATACAGTATAGCTCAAAACAAACACAAGAAAGGATTTGGATTTTCATCACAAAGACATCTCAGTGTCCTGAAATGATCAATATGTAATATGTAAGTGTACTGAAACATCACACTGTTCCCACAAAAATGTAATTATCATCTGTTGATTACAAAACCAGTCAGAGGCAATAACCTAGAGTGGCTACAGCCTATAACCTCAGCATTCGGGAGGCTGGCGGAAGAATGCCCCAGGAAGGTCAACCTGGGCTACAGTGAGACAATCTTTTCAAAAAGTCAGAGATTTAGCAAACAAAACAGAGAAAGTAAAACTGATTTTAGATTAACATTTGAATGATGCTTTTGTCTGTTCTGGAGGGTTTGGGGGTGAAGTGGGGGTAAGAGGGTTTCACGTAGCTTTGGCTGGTTTTGGATTAGCAGACCGTCTTGTCTGGTCCTCCAGCATGCTGAGTTTTGAGGTGTGTGTGACCACACCCAGCTGATCTACAGCCTTTCACGATTAACTCACAGAAGCGAGGTTGTTTCAACTTGTTTACCTTGATTAAATACTTTCTGATGTCGTCATATTTCTCCACAGAGAAGGCACCAACATGCTGGGGAATGTACTCCAGACTCTCCAGCGTCTGAGTCTGTGAACGGCTTAGGATTTCTGGACTGTGGAGAGAGGAGGAGAGCCCAGCATCTCGCATGAGAAAGCAAAACAGTTGTATCTGTGCACAACATAGAGTCACCAACTGAGGAGGAGGGGG